ATGCCTAATGTGTGTATTAATGGTTAAAAGTTAGCACTTCCGAATTTTGATACTTTTCTAGATCACAGCATTTATGAGTTTAAACAAAAATTTTTATTTAATTTCTATCGGCGATTAATGCACCGTCGTTGTTTTACGGTAATCATTGTATAAGACAGAGTTTTGACACTACTAATGATACATATTCGATTGAATCTAAAACCTTTAAGAACTAAACAGAACACCCTAGATTATTGAAAGAAAAATCATTCTAATCAACGATTTTTCCAAGTATGAATTAAATTTTAAGTTTAAGAAAATTCTTTTTGTATGATAATTGTTACGTGTTAAACTGACTCAGATTCATTCATAACAGTTGAATTTGAGAGTTCGAATATGAATATAAGTAAGATAGAAGAAGAGAAAAAACATATATCAGCAACAATTTTCATGCTTAATAGTGATAGAACAATAACATATTTCAATAAAAAGAAAGATTTCATGTGTTTAAACTTCAAATAACAGTGTCGAACTTTTTTCTGAAATGGTGAAAAAACGATATTTTTCTTTTACTAATTTAATCAAGCCTATTGTTGGGTTTATTCTTTCTAGTACTTTAGATCTTTCTCTGTCAATACTTTCCATCTAAACATTGACACCTCTTTTGTTAAAATAATATTAATAAAATGATGTTTAACTGAAAGTTTTTATTTTATTGTTTTAATTCGTAAGTGCTAACTTTTAACCATTAATACACACATTAGGCATATAGAAACTGGCATGGTCGAAATCAATGACATAAAAAATAATTGTATAGAATTATATAAGAATAGATTTCGTTATAGTCTTTTTTATGCTGTTCTTGTCTTGTTCAGCATTATTTTACTTTTCTTTGGCATTGATAAACAATCAAGTACAACCTCTTTAATGAATCGGCATTCTCAATCTACTAATAATTTTACTTGCTCCGTACAAGGAGATAAATGGATTGTAGTTACAACAATTTTTTATCTAACAAAAGCGATTTATAAATTTCTTAATTTAACTACTCAATGGAATTTAATTGTTATTGGTGATCAAAAAACACCAAAAGATTGGCTCTTACATCTTTCTATAAATTCTTCTCGACTTATT